TTGATGAGCAACCCGCACCATGGAAACACAGCTGTCAACAAAATCAGATGGAATTAAATTTCCAATCAGACAGTGATAGTATTATACATGTATAGGCCTTTAATATTCATGACCTCTAAAAGTAACATATCCTTGGTACTTTCTGAGGTATCATTGCCCTGTAAGAGTAATACTTTTGAATATTGGTTGTAATTTGGACAAAAAATAATCAAGAAATTTCAACTGACCATGCATAGACTAGTACCACAGAAGTACCAAAATGTGTGGCATTTATTTATCATGAACACAAATGTTCAAACAGTGCAAACCATTTTTTTTCATTTCAGGCTGTTAATTCTCATTAAAATATTACTTCAAGCAGAACATAGATGTATAATAACCAGGTTATTGATGAATATGTTACACTCTTCACTACAGGTACACGCAGATGGTTTTGAGTACAAGTGTATAATAGTTGGGTTTATTCAATGAGGTACATAGAGATCACACAGTGGAGTATGAGAGAGCTGCTATAACAGATGTTGATCCCTTGCTGGTCTGTCTAGGGTGTGTTTGACTTAACTGCCTCCTATCTACTAATTACCTCCACATCCTGTTTAGATAATACTCTTAATTCCATACATGGTAATGACCCTGAAACTTGAACATGTGCTCCTGTTTACATAAAGTACTAGTGTGCATATGTCTTTTAGCCTTGAACGTCTTGTTTCACTAGTACATGGAATAATAGTTGTACATGTATTATCTAATTGCTATCTAACTATAAATACTGATATATAATAATAGTTACAGTGCACTAGTGGCTACCTTACTAAATAATTAATAAATAAATAACAATGACTGCCTATATAACACAAAACTACAATATAATGTTAACTTGATAGTCAACCTAATTCTACCAGGGCTCCACAAATACAGTAAAGTACAAGGTTGTATTGTACTTTTGGAGATCAAACCCTCCATTTCCCTGTTGCGAATTTCTGTACTTTGCCCAGGTATTCACATTCTCAAATTATTTTCATTATCCATCTTTCACCTCAACAGTTGATGATGTACATATTGGTTTGGGATTTGAAACTCACATATTTGCAAATTCAACAGAACCACAATTACCTTCACTAGGCAGACTTGTAGCTGTATACGTGTCTCCTACTTCAAAATTTGTGACAGTCTTCTGTGAGTTAATCTTGCAACCATATCGAGGAATACCTGCAATAAATACAAATGACAAGCCATCAGTGGAGCCAGAAACACAGTAAAGTACAAGACAAACATTGGTACAGCATATGCACTACCACATTCATCTATATCTAAGTTTTCAGAAGATATACAGGTTGTTATTGTAAAATGCTTAATAACTTTCAAAGAATGTCTGAATCACAGATTAGTGTTTAACTCATTTTTCCCCTGTTGCTACCTTGACAAAAGTCTGAAAAATAAATTCCATTTCTCTTATGCTGACTGCATTTCACGATAAAGTGCATTCACACTTAGCAAATAGTGAAAAATCACTCTCAGAATAAGCTAAAAACTTAAATTATATTCATATGATGCAGTGTTACATAAAAATATATTAAAAGTATATATGTCTGTATATATCAACTCATTTCACTTTGAGAATACTTGTTCCTAAGACATACAATGCAACTGCTCTTTAAGGACAAACAAAGTCCCTCCCCATTAAACTCAGTAAGCATATATAATTATATGTCTTACTTAATTTAGGAGGAGTTTTGGAGCTTATTGTACAGCTACTTTATCATCACCTTTCTACAATCTCAATAATTGATAGTATATATTGGTGAGGAAATGGTAGCATATGATTTGCAAAGTAGAAAGGCAACTTTAAAGGTTCTACAATACACTTCATGTCAATGCTACCAAATATGATTGCATAACACTACAGAGGGTATAAATATTAGCTAGATTTTTTTTGCTGAATTAAAACCCAGTGAAAACACAAATTTGTTTACCTGCTGACATAATTTTCAGAAACTGTTGTGCTTTCTCGAGAGATGGAGTCACCAAAAGGAAGTCATCCACCATGCGTACCAGAATCTGAAAACAAAAATACGTTATTTACGAAATGAGCCAATATTTAAGCCTTCCAGTCATTTTTAGTATCAATTTATCGCACATCAAAACCTCCACCAGAATGATATAAAATCAAATGGTTGAAAACTATTCAAACTTGATGATATATTATATGTATTTCTCATATTGGGTCTTGCAGAATTACAGATGGAATCTGAAAGCATGAATGTCACTCACAACCAATATGTAAGCCCAATGTAACTACCGATAACCATTACATAACTTTACTGTACCTAAACATTACCCAACCCTATTGAGCTTAAACATTACCCAACCCTATTGTACCTAAAAATTACCCAACCCTATTGTACCTAACATTACCCATTCCTATTGAGCCTAAACATTCCCTAACCCTATTGTACCTAAACATTCCCTAACCCTATTGTACCTAAACATTACCCAACCCTATTGTATCTAAACATTACCCAACCCTATTGTACCTAAACATTACCCAACCCTATTGTACCTAAACATTACCCAACCCTATTGTACCTAAACATTACCCAACCCTATTGTACCTAAACATTACCCAATCCTATTGTACCTAAACAGTACGTAATCCCCATCTAACCAACCATGTAATGAAAGCTTGGTGTAACCCCGCTTAATTTTGTAGTTAATTGTGACTTGTCAATAATTTTATAAACAAATCTGTGAGCATCAACACTGTATTTAAAAGGAACTAAACTCGAAATACTTTTAGCGAATACATCATGGGTCATTAACATACAACTTTGGACACACCTCCACACCAAACACGGTATATGCAGGCCAGTAATATGAATTACCAGAAATACTTACACCATCTTTGTCCAATCCATGCAGGTACTCCTTTTCCATCTGTCCATAGTATATATTACACAGCATATTAGACAGAGTACTTCCCTGGAAAACACCTGTATCCTGCTTATAGTAGGATTTATTAATCTGAAATAAACAAAACTGTCATTAACGTCATCATCAGGAGAAAACTTTCTGAATATTCCATGAAAATCCTCTTTGAGCGCATGATTTGTTGCCACCAACATTTTTCAGAGTCTGTAATTTTATTTTGCATATTTAATTTTCTTTCATTTTTGGACACTTATGAAGAAAATTATGTGCATTTTATTATTCTAATTGTTTAACACGTTATGAAACAAAGGATGAATGTTTTTACAATTTCAAAAAGAAAAAAAAGATGATCAGTATTTAAAAAAAAAATAATTCTCTACTTTGATATTTTGAGTACAGCATCACCAGTGTATGCAGTGTACTTCAATAGATAATTTGAATGTGGGGC